TGGTTTATTCAAACAGATACGATTTAAAAAAAATACAAATACAATTTCAGTGAATAAAATATTTTCTTTTACCACAGACCCCAAATCTTACCTCTTGAAATTAGAATTCATTACAGAGTAACATAGTCAAAGTTGTTATGATTTTATAGCTACTGAGCTGTTTCCAATGTCACTGTTTTTCACTGAGGATCAGTCTCTAAAGAGGCTCTGGATTGAAGTGTGAAATCAAATCACCAGAGATGATGAACTCATTCTCAGGTGAGCACTCATCTTTCCATGCAACCAGAACTGACTTTCAAAGAGGCTGCCAATCACATGGGAGATATTTTTCTTTTTCTACATGTACTGGATCATTTTCACTTACTTATTATGGGCAGTATATGCTAAAAAAGTGTCACAGGCAAGTATTTGTTCTGAGTTTATCTGGGATTTGAGGTGAGTCGACCCCAAATCAGGAATATAAAAAGAACTACTTTGGATTCTTTTTCTAAATGACCCTTTATTTTAGGAGTATTATGTACTGATTGGTGTAAGACACACAGTCAAGTACACTAAATAATGTAGGGAGGGAGGAGATGTAGAGTTGTTTTAAATAACAGTTATTTATGCTATATATTTTATAGGTAAGGATATGAATGAGGACATAAATGTGGTTGAACATGGAGACAGAGGCTTGAGAATTGTCCAAAGGTCACCTACGACACCTCCTAGCTTGTAGTCCAAAATCAGAAAGAGCTTCTGTCTCAAAGAAGTTAGCAGGTGAGGACTGACACCTTTGGTTGTCCCTCTCAACATCACATGTATAGAGCGGCACTTGTACAATTGTACTCATAAAGACGTGCAGACATATATCACATAGATCCACACAAATACAAGAGAAATAATAAACATATTAGTAAATAAATAACTAAATGACTCATCAAAGAAATGTCTTTCTGCAAAAGAAAGAGACATAACTGCAATGGAACATCTACAACTGTCTCTCTGGGAAAATTGCAAAACCAGGAGAGAAAATATTTAATGAGACTTAAAATAAAATGCCTTAGGAACAAAATGATTACTCTAGATAATGCAGAATAGACATGATAGGGATGTAGTTCCATTGAAATCACCACAGCATAGTACTCTTATAAGATCTGCATAATGACAAAGCAAGTTCACATGACAATGTGGATGGGGGAATTTTCACAGAGTCCCACCTCTACAGTAAATCGATGCTGAGGGAGGCAGAATCAGTGTTCTACAGGAACAACTTCCCAACAGGTTGTACATTATACTATATAATACACATATACATAGAAATAAATATGTATGTATATAGAGCAAGAATAATCAAAGAAGAAAAGAAATTGAGTGTGAATGGGGGACGTGGTTGGAGTTGTTGAGGGCAGTTGGAGGGTCAGTAAGATGCAAATAATATCCTCATATACGAAGTTTTCTAAAAATAAAAATATATGTCGATACTAATGAGTAAAAGCTTCCTTAGGTGAGCTGTACTTAACTCTGCACAAATTATTCCCTTCTTTGTTGAGATGGCTTCATGTAAGTCAGGATGACTTTATATTTGCTATATAGCAAAAGAGGACCTTGGATTTCTCCTGGTTCTGCCTCTAGCTCCTGATCCCTGGGATTACTGTTATCCAACACCACACTTGGTTGATGTGGGCCTGGGGACTGAACCCAGGACTTTATGCATGCTAGGAAAGTGCTCATCCCCAGACCTACACTATATAATTTACCCCTTCCTATTCCATTATGTTCCTTTCCTGCTTTATATCACTGCATTCTATATCCTTCCTAATAACTCCCCTTACCCCCTGACATGGCTGTTTACTAGTTTCCTGAACTCTAAGGATTCAAAACTAGCAATCCACTTAGGAGACAGAATATGCAATATTTGTCTTTCTGGGTCTGGGCTGCTTGACTCAGGATGACTATTTCCATTTCCAACCATTTACATACAAATTTCATAATTT